CAGGGAGATGTTTGAGGCATGGAATAGAGAGGAAAGGACGGTAGCTGTATGGGGTTNATTTTTGAGCCACCTTTGGCAAAGTAGAAAGGAACGATTGGCCATCGGTGATCGGTCCTGTGGGAACAATGCTCCGTCCTCTCGAGGACGCGTGGTCAATGGTCTAACCGCTAAGACATGCAAAACATAAGAGTACGCCCCCCCCCCCCTCCCCGCCCCCCCGTCTCGCTCAAGCCTCCTCACCAGTCAGCGTACTCGTCCCACAGAAACTCGTAAATGTTCTTCCCCGCGTCTCCCATGTCGTACCCCTGCAGACCCATCGTGACGTCCTCCACCAGACGGTGGCACTTGGACACGATATACCGCTCGGGGAGCGCCAGTGTTTCCAGCTGCTTTTCCGCGCGGTGACAGCACGCCAGCCATTCGTGAGAGACGGAGGAAAAAGAGAGGGAGAAGCATTTGTGCGATTGTGGCAGGACGTGCCACACTACTCCGACAGAGGCTGTCTTGAGGAGCCAACACAAAAGATAAAGAGAAGCAGCATGCAAATCAACACGCAAAAACCTGCAGAGGTCGTCAAGAAGGGAGACGACCCAATCGGACGTCGTTACATACACTCAAACTGGACGCAGCTGCTTGCGGGATTATGTTGGAGGCGAATTACTTGCAGCTGGCAGCTTGGCTGGTATTCTCGCAGTCCCCTCCTATTCTAGACGCCTACAAAGCACGGTACACCTCTGAGAGTATCAGAGGGCGTCATCACATCTCACAGCAGGGGGGCGTTTTCTTCCCGCAGTCCATGCCTTCAGGCTGTTTCGCGAGAGAGGTTCAGCAAACCCCACTCCCTCGTCTACGTTGTATGTTATCTATCCAGTCGGAAAAGTGTCTACATGCACGGCGAGGACTTGACCCTCCTTGCCTTCCAATACTTCCGTACCCCCAACTAACACAACTCCTTGCTGTAGGGCGGAATCGAACGAAGCCATCCGCCGCCGCAGCACCAGTACCACGAGGCATCCTTACGTACGTACCTCTGCGGCAGTCATGGGTCCCGTGACCGCTAGCGCTTCCCTCTCCCCCTCTCCCACGCCCTTGAGGTTGCCCAACAGGAACCGGCCCGCATTCCACAGCTTGTTCGCGAAGAACCTGTGTCAGAAGGAAGGAAGGACGACCGCGGAGGGCCCCCCGCGTTACCATGGGTACCTGGCGGTATCAGATGCTTTGCCATGACGTCGCGCACGATTGCGGCTTTTATGCCGAGCCTTAGTGCCCTTCTGTTTGGTGTGCAATCGTGTGCGATCGGGTTGGCAATCGGCTCGTGTTGGATTGTGGCGGCACGGTCTGCTTACTAGAGGCTAGGAAGGCATGACGAAGGAAGAACAACGGACAACGGAAAGCAGCAACAACCTGCATCTGTGGTCGGAAAGCTTTGGCACATCCTCAAGCTGATCATCAGGAAAAGGTGCATATCTCATTACACGCCGACAACGTCAGTGTAATCAGACATGCACCTCTTCCTTATAATCGCCTTGAGGATGTGCCTAAGTTGTCCGACCACAGATGCAGGTTGTTGCTGCTTTCCGTCATTCTTCTTTCATCATGTCTTCCTCACCTCGAAATCTCCGCCGCCGATGATCACATTTCTGTCGTTTGCAGAGATCTTTCGCTAAATTTCTTGCTTTTCAACGCGACCAGTTCCCTCCCCCTCCCCCCATCCCGCCCCCCCCCTGCGTGCGCCGTTAACCCCCTTACCACGCACAGAAAATTCGACGTTCTTGCGAAATTTCTGAAATGTAAGAAAAAGAGCGAACGATGCCTGCTGATTAGATGGTGCAGACAGTTCCAACCCTGGGTGCAAGTGCAAAGCTGCCTTCCCACTTGAGCCGTCTCTTGTCAATAATCCCTATCAAATGTCCCCTCGAATCGAGGGGACATTCGATAGGGATTATAGACAGCAACTGACGGGAGCGTGGTAAACGGGGCACGAAAAGTGGGTTTTCAAGATGTTTCTCTACAGGGAAAGCGAGACCTTCTAACCCAAGCCCTAGGTTGCCCGGTGCCTCCTGTCAACGATGGGCTAGGTTGTTTTTGTTGTTGCTGTTGAAGTTTTTCTTCACATAAAACTCTTGTCAGTTGCTAATCCCAAAACCTAGCAAAGACTCGGTCCGTGGTCACAAAAATGCTAGAGCCATCAGAAGATCTTAACACACACACTATTAGCAAGAGAAGGGTACGCAAGCCCGAGGAGGTACACCTGCAATCCCTCCAGCACGTTTGCTTGCTCACAACTGAACTACACGCCCACACACTACAAATCGACTACAGCTGCAGCACCACCCCCCTTGTCCCGCATTTAACCAAAATGAATGTTTGTCGACTACAGCGCACTGCTGTCTGAAGTGCTGTCTGTAGAATAATAACACCATGGTGCATGGTACACAAGCTCGGGGCATGCAGCTGCTGTCTGAAGTGCTGTCAGAATGAGTCCGTCCGTGGACATACAACGAAGAACACCCAACCAAAGCCATCATTGCATTTATTTGACAATCACCCGAATCTATCCAGATCATCTGTGTTAGGCACAGCAGTGTAAACATCGACACTGACTAGGAATCGTTCCACATTGAAGGGGTCTTCCACGATGCAGGTACACAATGAAAAGCACACGGGTTATCGGCGCCATCTCTGCCGCGTCTCTCTACAAAACCAGTGACGTCATCACACACACCCAACACTTATATTCAGGGGAAAAACGGAAAAAAATGACAACACAAGAGATGTTTGTCCGTGCGCCACGGTTCGATGCCGTCCGGCTGCTCCGGTGCCGCTGCTCCGGTGCCGCTGCTCCGGTGCCGCTGTGGCCAGTCCTAGCATGACCAAACTCGACCCGCTCCGCTTCGTACACGCTCTCGTTGCTGTCCATCCCAGTCGGTTCCTCGCCTTCTCCCTCGTTTCACTTAGGGTTCTTGGTCTAAAAATTCTCGCGCCGAAGGGTCAACCAACCCAATCAGCTCGTCACCACCTGTCCCCTCCTCCTTTGATGGCAAAACCAGGTTACTGAGACAGTACAGCTCCCTCTAGCAAACCTAGGGCCGTGTACATAGTGCCCGTCCACCTTTCTGATGACGTCTGCCTCCGCGCACAAGGATGAGATGGGCATTGCTGCCTACACCGACGGCCTGGAGGCCCGCGCATCTGCACCTTTGTACCTGACGCACCAGTGCCGACCCAACTCCACCGCTACGCACGCCTCACGGCGGGTGCACCACAGCAAGAAGGTATCGGTCCCTTGAGGGTGAGTCTAGCCCTGCTCGCTAGAAAGACCCCCCCCCCTCGCTATGAGTCATGCCTACGCAAAACCTTGCCGAGGCAGCGAGGGGAAGAAAGGAAGGTACTTCTTCCGCGCTTGCCCCTAGTAGCGCTTTCCACCCAAGGGTAGACAGAAGCGGCGCAACTTCGCTGTTGAACCCGCGGCGTAATCGCCCCTCAATTCGACCTGTTCATTACCCTCATTCTCCTCCACTCTACAAAGCATCCATACTAAACTAGAGTCGTCCCCGTGTACCCTGGCACCCCCCTGGTCGAGTACTTCAAAGCAGGAGACAATCGTGTCATTCTTCGCGAGGTAAAGAAGGTGAAGAACATGCGGACAAAAAGTGTCCCCAATAGGCGATCTAGCCCTAAAGGGGTTAACCTCCCACCTGCGGTTTTTCTTTGCATTTCGATGGTCCAACTTTCTGCCAGAGCCGCTATCCCCATGCCTTGGCAGAAGTGCTGCTACAACGCATTGCTATTTTCACCACTGGCCCTTGACATGAACTTTCGATGTTTTTCGAACGCTTCCCCCCTGCAGTCGCATGCATGTACGTTTTCTCCTGGCAAGCAAACTTTAACGTTTACGTCCCAATTGCTGGTCGTCTCTATCCTGTCAGCTTGGCCTTACTTGCCTGTTTCCACCGGAAACTCCCTCCTTCGGTGCGTTGCTTCAATTTTCGGTCAATCCTTGACGATTTTTCGTGTCGATTGCACGCTATTCCAGGGCAGGTTTTCGTTTGGTACGTCATATTCTCTGAACTCGTCTATTAATAGCAGCCTTCCCGCGAGGTTTTCGCTTACTTGAATGACTACTCGACCTGTTCGTTTGTGCGAGGTCGTTTGGTAACTTTTTTCCCGTCGCGAGTTCGTCCCCTGGTGTCATGGTCTTCTCTATTCGGGTGTCTTCGTGATCGTCGCACATCGCGTGTATTTTCCCCCATACCATCTGCGGCCTCTGCCGTCCTTAGCTACTTTGTTCCGCTTCCTTGGTTCTGTTGACGTGTAAGAGGTGCAGAAGCGAGTTTTGAGTTCTCGCATCTTCGATCCGTCCCCTAACCGTCTTCATTGACTAGAGCCCGCCCCGAGGTTTGGCTTTTGTATCGGCGTCTTCGACCACTCAGGGCTAGTGTTGTGTTACTTGGAGGAAGCCATGTGATGGTGCGTTACCGCGGTTATTGGCGCTACAATAGATGTTTGTCATGATGTCAAGTAAGCTTGCGGCTTTGTGTCGAGCCCTGTGCCCGTCTGTTTAGTGTGCGATCGGTGTGGCAATCGGCTCGTGTTGGATTCCGGCTGTCTTGTGGACACGCTAGGCGTCAAGAAGAAAAAATTTACGAGAGAAAACGGCAAGCAGCAACAACCTGCATCTGTGGTCGGAAAGCTTTGGCACATCCTCAAGCTGATCATAAGGAAAAGGTGCATATCTCATTTCACGCCGACAACGTCAGTGTATTGAGATTTGCACCTCTTCTACATGATCACCATGAGGATCTGCCAAAGTTGTCCGACAACAGATGCAGGTTGTTGCTGCTTTCCGTCGCCCTTCCTGCATTTTGCCTTCCTGTTGTCTATTTTAAGCGTGCACACAAGATGGCAATCAGCTTGTGTTGGATTCCGGTGGTCTTGTGGACACACTAGGCGAAAAGAAGATTAAATGTAGGAACGACTACGGAAAGCAGCAACAACCTGCATCTGTGGTCGGACAGCTTAGGAACATCTTCAAGCTGATCATAAGGAAGAGGTGCACATCTCAATACACTACGTTTTTAGCGTGAAATGAGATATGCACCTTTTCCGTATGATCAGCTTGAGGATCTGCCAAAGTTGTCCGACCGCAGATGCAGGTTGTTGCTGCTTTCCGTTGTCATTCCGCATTTTATCTTCTTTTCGCCTAGTGTGTACACAAGACAGCCGGATTCCAACACAAGCATATTGCCACACCAATCGCACACTGAACAGAAGGGCACAAGACTCGACATAAAGCCGCAAGCTTGCATGCCGTCACTACCATGTATCTGATAACGCCAATACCATGGCAACGCACCAATTACCGTAACACTACGCCCCCCCGTCCCCCCCCTCCCTCTCCCTGGGTGATTGCCATCGGGGCTGGGTTTTCGTCGCTTGGCAACGACGAAAAAACCAGTCGATCACTTCGTGAGCTCGGCAACCAGGTTACCGCTTGTTTCTTGCCCTACCATAATGGTGGTCGAGTAGACTGTGTTGTGCGGGGTGGAGAACCATCACTCCACGCAAAGGGGATGATTCGCATCACGTTGTGTTATATTGGTCAAGCACCCTCGGGGCAGCTACACAGTGCCCAGAACTGTCCCTGGAAATGAAAGCACCAGAAAATAAATTTAACTCATACGCAGCTGTACCAGACCACCCGGTCGCCCCGGTGGTCTAGTTGGCATCCTCGGAACCTTCTCAAGGTCAGGTCAGGATTTCGCTTCCCGGTGTAAGCGAGCTTTTCTTGCGAAGTGAGTTTTTCTCTCGCTTCCGCTCCTGGCCTAGTGGATAGCGCTAGTTCGTGTGTACACAGAAGGGAGAAAGTGATGGCCTCTTCTCGCATTAAAATTCGAAGGTCAAGTACCGCAGGAGAGGAGGGTAGAGACGGGCTCTTCTGTGTGACCTCGGGTTGGAGTAAACGGCACTAGTGCTGTGAGCGCCAATTTGAAGCGAAAAAAAAAAAACACAGCTGTCATCCGTACGCAAGGAAGTAAGCACAAGATGCCGAACACCCGTAGCAGGATGCAGCGCACCCTCCATGCGACTCGCCGAACACCTCACGGCGCTTCGCGCTTGGTGATGTGAGAGCCTGGTCCGGTGAGAACCCGGCGTGCTCCGTCCCGGCTTTGTAGGGATGCGAGGTCAATGATCTCACGACTACCGCATGCACCACAATGAGTACCCTCCCCGTCCCCCATCTCACATATTTGTCTGGACCCTCTCCATGGAGAGAGGAACATCCTGCCCCGGCGTGACCCCCGTCACCAGGGTGTACCGAAGGGCGTCCGTCCCGTAGCTGTCCATGGTGTCGATAGGGTCCACCACGTTCCCCTTCGTCTTGCTCATCTTCATGCCGTTGCCGTCCTTCACCAGACCTTCATCGTCATTTTGTGGTACAATGGGTAGTTGGGGGAGATCAAGGTGAGAGAACTTCAAACAGGGGGGCTACGTTCATTTTTTTTTTTTTTTTGCACAAACAAGACAAGCGTTTCCGTCACAAAATTTCGTCTCATGTCTAGAATACGCTCCAATCAGGTACGAAATACTATTTGCTTGTTCGAGAACGTGCTTGCTCTGTGGGGATGCAGTACGCACAACCGAGATTCCGGGTACGCAACACCCGCGCAAAAACACAAAACACGCAAGAGAGATAAAATTCCGGTGGTGACTCCTGCGCGAGAGATAAATTAGTTGTGTATTCGAAAGAATACAATGTGACCCCGGTTGGGTCGTCTAGCTGGTAGAAGTGGAGCATAGGGGGCCGAGGGGCAGACGACAGAGTCCAATGATGGGAGAAACAAACGAAAAAAATACACACGCAACGCACAAAACACACAAAAAAAATAGACATGCGAATAGTACCCACGGCCATGGGCCTCTCGTGATGGCAGTAACTGAGGTCATGCCGTACCCAATACATCACTAATACCGCCCTCGGCGTGTACCTGGCGCCCGCAGAACAGAACCCAAACCCAAACATATCCAATACCCGGCGTGTACCGTTCCTTCCGCTAGAACAACACAACCTTGAAAACGATTTCAACAAGTTTTGGCGGGAGCAAGGTTTGTCGAGAAGGGTAAAAAGAGGTTGAGGCACACTAAGTCAATATACTCCGGGTAGGTTTGTATGTAAGTGCTCACCGTGTAGGTAAATGGTGTCAAACGGCGACTTCCCGGTGAGCTCGATTCCCATCATCACCATCCTGAAAACAAGCCAAAAAACCAAAAGGGCGAGAGCCGGAGAGAGAGACCAGAGGGAGAAAGCGTTAGGGCGACGCCAGGCCAGGGAGACGGGAGTGACTGCAAACACAAACACACGCACGACGAATAATACTATGTATGGCAGACAAGAAGCACTAATCACCTCTGTTGTGCATATGTGCCTGCACTGCTGCTGTTCTCTCTCTCTCTCTCTCTCTCTCTCTCTCTCTCTCTCTCTCTC